CTTAATTAAAAAATTATAATTATGAATATTTTTTTTCTGACATAAGTATTACTCACTTTTTTATTTGAAGATTATAAAGGATTATTACATAATATCATCATCATGTTTAAAGGATTGTTAAACAGGTAAATATACTGTTTATAAGATTTTATTCTGAATTATTTTTAATTTTAAAAATTACATAAAATTGAGCTTAGCCGCAGCTCAGTTTTATGTAACATTTGAAATAACATGAGGCTTTCTGTAACCATATATTAAGTTGCGTGCAAGATAAATGTTCAGCCTAATTAGTATTACCTACATGAAAAATACATATTCTACTGTTTTTGACACAAAGTTAAAACCAACCACCAATTTTAACCCAAAGAAAACTGTCATACGCTATGATGGGTTACAATTTGGAACAAAAAAAATAAGCCTGTGAATCAGGACCTCTTGTTCAATTTTGCAGGAATTTATATGTGTAAGTTCTTTTATATCAGTTGAAACTTATACTTAATTTGCTCATAGTCAGCATGGATGATAGCTGCGAGCAGATCTATGCAACTACAAGAATTTAATTTGTATACAACTTAATGTGAAAGATATGTCAAATCATTAATAATTTTCTCTGATCTTACTTATAATATCTAGTCAATAATGACATTTCTAATGGGTTTCTATAACAAACATTGTTTTAAATTTAATCTTGTATAGATTTTCCACAGTATATATTATGTTGCCTTGCTTGATTCGGTGTACAGATGTAGGTATAGCCAGATTTCGAAAGATATTGGATTCATTTCATCATCAATAATTCTCTCTTAAATGTCTACTTTGAGTCGACTATCGTTTATCTTCTTCACTATGTTATTGATACGTATGAATATTTATTTTCAATCGAAAACTTCTTCTTTTATTAAGGGCTTTCGCATAATTCTGCCAATTTCACGTGCGTAGCCAATACATTATTTTATAAAATTAATTTTGTAAATAATATTTTCAAGTATAATGTTTCACTTTCTATTACAGTTTAATATTACAAAAAAATACACATATGCGGATTGTTTTAGTAGATATCCCATATTAAATTGTCATTTACAATTCAATTTTGTCAATTTCATTCTTCTTTTATTAATGGTATATCTGCGCATTTCACACAATTCTGCCAAAGTCAAGTGAATAAATTAATTTCTACATGTAAAATGAAAAAGTAATGAATGAAAGATTAATTAAAACATTGTCTGTATCATTGTGGTTTGTATTGACAAAAAGTGAATTGGTGTTGCAATATGAAAATCAAACATCGATTGGAAAATAATCGATTAATTCACTATATGTAATAGAACTGCAGTAACATTTATTGAATAAAAAAAACTTTAATATACTTTTAGTTAATTTTGGTGCAATTTTGCATTTTTCCTAAGTTTTACGGACTACTACGGTTGTTGATTCAACAACGCCCAAATAAATAAATATATATATATTATTATTATTATGTAATTTCCAATGCCCGTAATTGGAAATGTTATATGAAAACCTAATGAAGTCCCATAAAGTCACAATATGAACTATCCATGTAGTTTGATGAAGTCCGATGATATTCAATGAAGTTTAATGAATTCTGTTTAAATGGATTGAAGTTACTAAAGTCATATGCAATCATCATTTAACTTTAACATTTAATTTTTAGTACAAACAAATATATAAATTTAATGATTATTTTTGTTGTACATTCTTTTGAAACGGAGTTGTTTAAAGTAAAGTATACACCTCTGGATTAATGCTCGTCCTAGTCTTGGACTGATTGCATACCTCACTTATTACAGTTTGTTAGTGACCGAAAATGACTTTTCTGTTCACGACCTACCTATGTAGGTACCGTTTTATTTTACGGAATCATATTATTCACTTTCATGCTACTTTATCTCACATAATAACATTTATTTTGCGAATTAAAACTCGGTATAAACAATAAAATAAACCAACACCATTCGAATTTTGAAACTTAACTCTTTAAGCTTGACGTTATCTTTAGTCGACGCCAGGATTTATAGTATTTCATCTGACTTTTTTGTTAATTAAAAGACTTAATTATATCGGATTTATGCTTTAAATATTAAGCATGTTTAAAGTTGAGTGCTTAATAAAAGTTAGAATTGGGTATATGACGATTTTCTGAAAACTAATTAATTAAAATAGTTGTTTGATACATTATAAACACACTGTCAATATATTACATGAGAATCTGTTCTATTTTCGATGAATATAATTGTTTAAATCTACAGATTCTAAGAAATAAACTTTTATTAGATTATTTTCTAACATGATGATAATAGTACGAAACTTATTTTTATAGTGTCAAATACCCATAATGATAAAAATATTAATTATAAATTCGCGTTTCGGGTATTTTCCCTTATAGCTTAACACTTAGGTATGCACTTTCTTAATGTAGCTAATATTCGGGTGTTTCGTCCGTATTTTAAAACGTTCGAATAAGAATATAATAGATTCATTACGTACAGAAATGATAAAAAAATGAAGGAATGAATAATCATTAATCGTCTCCCGTTTAACTAATAATTTCATTTATTTTATTCTGGTAACACTAATGACAGCTGTTTGGTTCGGCTGCGATTTGGCTCCGATTACGTTTCAGTTTAGTAAACGTTCGTTTGATAATTTACGTTAGCGGAATGCAAATTTACAGCAAAAATCGAAACGTAACCGTTACAGAAACGCTATTGATGATCGATCGTTGTAAATTAGTAGAATTGGCCCCCTGTTCTAGATATCCTTCGATTTCATAGCCCCAACTGACCTCCACCATATTCGTTCAAAAGACAATAAAACCGGAGTCGTTTCTATACAAATATGGAAATGAGAACTAACAATGACGTCACTTGTATAAAACACAACAGATTTGCTAATAATTTTTACCAAGAGAAAGTAGAACAAACAATTCAGAAATATTTTTACTAGCGGTCTGCGTAAATAATAGTTTATGCCATCCGCGTATGATGTAGCTTCAAGATCGGATTAAGATTTCCGAAGATTATCCCTTACAAGAAACAAATAAAGTTAGAAAACTTAGTTACTAAAATCTTTGTGTAGATTTCAATGAAATAAGACTAGTTGATGACGTTGTATTAATATGAAAAATTCTAATATAGTGACTGAGTAATGCTAGCATTCACTCGGGCGTTTGAAGCGGAATTACTAATTTCTTTCTATAAACACACTGTCTCATTTACAAATGCCTTTATTGCACATATTTATCCTAAATATGTTTTTTGTTTGTTCTTTAATTAATGTTGCAACTGTATTAAAGCATATAATATATTCTGAAGTTACAATCTTTTTTATGGATATAAGTATTTGAAGGAGGCTTTTATAGCTGATCGGCGGGGTAGTCTCTTTAACGATTCTAGGGACCTCACTTGGTGCCTTGATGTCGTTAGATGTTGACACGTGGGTGATTTGACCAGCTACTGGCTTCACGTTTAAGGAAGGACATTATCAGATCTTTAGTAAAAAGTTTAATAAAAAAAGAGTGAATTTAGCAATTAATTTTGAGTTTCATAAAGATAAATCATAGGTAAGTAGATATCTAATAAAGATTTTAATAAAAGATCCATTTCCAGATAAGTCCATTTCCGGATGATCAGTAATCCAGAGTCAAGGTGTAAAAGCCTTACTACCGGAAGATGTTATGTTGACACATTGGTTGTACGGTTAACGAGATTGTCGAAGATAATCTCGAAAAGTAGTAAAGCTTATTTTCTAATGTCTTCACTAATTTTGTTATCAGTATCCACATTTTTTTAAACGTTTTATCTATGAATACTAATTATTTAAGTACCGATGTAAAAATATGGATTAGACGAACTAGAAAGAAGACGGAACAGTAAAAAAATATATAGACACAGAAAATGTAACAATTGGGCCTTCAAAATGGGATAACAAATTTTATACTGGAGAGACTTAAATCGTTTGAAGTTCTTCTAGCGATAAAGAGGAGGATCTTCGACTATCTGGGTCACATTCACATTATGATTAGCCAAATGTTACAAATAATAGTCTAAGGAAAGATCCAGGTCATGCGAAGTGTAAATAGGAGAAGAGTGTCACGGCTTAAGAATTTGCGCCAGAAGTTCGGAAAGAGCACTCGATCGATATTTTGAGTAACTGTATGAAAAATGGCAGTTGCCGTAATGATTCCTAAACTTTAATCAAATAAAACCGACTTCAAAATGTATACCAACCTCTATGCTGTGCCTGCTGAGTTTCAAAGCATTTCGTACATTCTCGTCACTTATTGTGGTTTCTAACATCACCATTTAATAAAATCTATATACAACAATTTACGATCAAAAGGATCTTGCGCAATGTCGGCTTCTAGTATACCTACTTATCCAGGTACTTTCGCTGTGTACATGGACAATGAATATATCGGTTTCATCATTCTATCGCCCGGCATTGTTTTTGCAAACCAACGAAGGACACGCGTTACTTTTATTTGTCGTAGCGGTATAAATTTTAGAGTAGCCAAAGATCCCATTTTTTCACTTTATTTTTACGTGTCGTAAAACTGTAAGACCTAATGTAACGCAAGTAAATTGAATTGCAATACCGTTTGTGGCGACACGCTGACAGAATCGATTTGATATCGATGAAGAAGTCGATTTGCGGCTTCGTTTATCATTATAGGTGTATAATATAATCTGTGGTGGTCTATGTTGTAGCAATTTCCCGCCAATTTATAGCTGTTACCGACTTAAAAAAAATGTTTTTTCTGGTTACCCGCCATGCTCTAATATTACGGTTTTAAGAAAGTTAAAGAAGTTATAAATATTACAAAATAACGGTTTTATTAACCCTTAGAGAGAGAGGAAGCGTAATCGCGTAGCATAGATTAATGTAGACGAGGAGATTCATCCTTTTTTTTAACTTAAAATATCGTCTCTTTATGAACAATGCTTAAAAAACTAGTTCGAGATAATTACAGTAAATCTTACCTTAGACGACAGCTCAGCGATGATCTCGTTCTTCTCATCGATCTGTCTCTCCCTCTCCAGCGCGCGCCTCGCGTGCGCAGCAATGGAGTCCCTGACGCGCGATCCCTCCAGAGTGGCGTACGCGGCGACCGCGTCCGCGCAGGCAGCGGCGAGTGCGCCCCTACGGAGAGTCTCTCCCTCGTCCCCGTCGAGCGATGTGAGGGAGAGGTCTGAGTGCAGCCCTGGAAGATTTAATAGTTAATTTACTTTGTTCACAATATTACCTGCTATAACCTTGGATTGTTGGGAACTAGTAGAATGTAAAATCACGCGTTACTAATATTACAAAGAGTAAAGATTTCATTTTGATTGTTCCGAAACTACTGGATCGATTATAAAAATTCTTTCACGTATAATACGCAGGTAGCTTATGCTGTAATTTAAGAGGGTGAAATCGCGGGAACAGCTGTTTTGGGAGTTGTTAAATATCGTAGACTAGCTAATCTACCATATTTAGCAACTTCCACGTCCGGTCGGTATCTGCACAATGTTTATGCACCGTTAGAAAATAAATACACGTGTTCAAGTGAAAACAAATGTCGCAACTATTATTTACGGGACGTCCCGTATTTCATGCATAAATTCAAATGACCCGCTGGGAACGACTTTGTCCCGTATATCAAATCGATTTCACAAATGGTGTCGAATTAGGGTAATAAACGAAATAAATGTACCTCCCAACTTAATAATAACCAAATCAATTACCATAGTTAACTATGATTTTAATTCATTTTTTATTATGTCAAATCCAACTAAAATACGACAAAACAAGTATCTCTGAAAAAAATCAAAAAGGAAGTTGATTCTTTATTAATGCTGGAAAACAAAAAAAATATCCCTAATTTTTTGCACATTTAAATCATCAAGCAATCCTAGTCGCAACCAACATCTAATATTACTCTACTTGCGTCCCTATGCAAAAAATCCTAAGTTTCGAAGTAACTTATGTTATGCCACTTGTGGTGATGCGCAGATGTCTTGTGGTACTAACGGGATGTGCAAGTAGCTGAATATCGTAGTTTTATAATAAATCTCGTTGATTGCCTCAGGTTCTTATTGTATGTATTTATAACAAGAAAACCATTTCAATACTCAAATCTTTATTTTTATAGGGAGTGAACGCTTCTTACGTCAAGAATTTAATCAGTTGTTGGGCGGTAGGATACTGGCAATACTGCCATAAGCTCTGTTGTGTGCAATTCTAGGTATATTAGCTTATATGTATAATGTATTGTCATATCATGCTAACGCTAACTCAAGCTAATACAGTTGCTAAAATTAACTATAGAATTAACTCTGCGAAACAGATTATTATTTATTATAAGTCATACGTTGTTAAGGTTGCGTTATTGAATCGTGCAGTCTATTGTGTAACGGCTGTTGCACCGCAGTGCCCTTGCATGGAGCGTTCTGTTACAGTGTCCCGTTCACTTATATAATCCCCTGGTTTTATTTTATGAGACGGATGCAGGACACATAAAAAAATCTCTATAATGAAAATCGAATGGCTATAGGATTATGACATGCCAGCTGTTACTCTGTCATGCAATATTCGTCTGATTTTAATACTCAATTACCGTATAACATTCACAAATACACACTCGAATTTTTGACCGAATTTTGCTTGCCCTCTTTACAATCCGATGAGTGCCAGTCACTGTCTGTCACGAAAAATAACAAATCGTTTTAGGCAGGCTGCAAACAGATGTTCTTTATTTGTATATTTAAATCAGACGAATCAGCATGCTCTAGTCATGAGCAAGTGACGGCTGTCATAGCCCCCAACGTAACTCAGCTTTTAAATTAACCCCTTTTGCGATCTCACTAGCGGATCCTTATAACGTTAGATTTGATTTTATGCTGTTATAATAATAGTGCCTTTTCTCTAATCTCTTCGGGAAAGGTTCGGGTTTCGAACTTTGTTACAAGGGTTTGGTGTTGGATCCGCGCGGTGTATGGCCTCCGGGCCGATCCCGGGCATGGCATTCTATGCGAGGGACATCGCTGAGTTTTAGTGGGAAAACTTCTGTTTGTTGAAAAGCCCCATTTGGGGCTGCGGCCGCAGGAGGAGTCCCACATTACCCGCCGACCCTGCGCTGGTCGAGCGGGTATGTGTAATGCGTTTCTCAGCGTCAAAAAAACTGGTTGATAGGTATAACAGGTTACATATCGTTAGGTGCAGCGAACTATACATCCAAATGACGCAGTCGCGTGTATTGATGCGAAAAATGATATACTCGATAAACCACGTGCGTTCAGTTATATCTATCTCTACATATTGTGTAATAATAGTCTGTCCATATAATCATATGTCGTTGACAGTACCTACCAGTGATTCACACAAATGCGGAAAGAAGAACAAGAGATGTAATGAGTTTCCAGCTATTTCTTTGATACGATTCATTCATAACAAAAATCATAATAATTTAATCTTACCTAATAATTCCTCGCACACTAGGTTCTCGTTTGAATAAAATATACGCCCTTAGACTACATAGTGTTTTATTAGATAAGTCAATGTTAAAGTTAAAGATGCTTAAAGTCAATTGACAGTTCGTCGTTTGATATTATGAAAATAAAATCTATTTTAATCTATACTAAACATATTTAAATTATGCTTCGAATATGAGTTGATAAGGAAGCTTGATTTTGGCAGAGTTCTACTTTTCCAAATTTTGTCAAAAGTACAATTTTATTGCTGGATATTTTTATTTATTTCAAAGAAACAGTTGTATTTTTCAAACTTTAATGTTAGGTTAAGCTAGGTAACATTCACCTACACCTCTGAATTAAAGTAAAAAATACTGAATTTATACTATATTTAATCCGAAAGCCAGAAGCAAAAAACATTAACTGCAAAAGCTTAGGAAAATATAAACTATACGACATATTTCTCGGAAACCAGAGTCCAGTCAAAGATATACGTGACTCGGTGTTTGCAACTGTGAGGTCTGACAACTCCTGAAGATGTTCTGTGGAAGGGTGAAACAAGTGTAGATAGGTAGTTGGTAATGGTTGCTAGATTTTTAACAGCTTGTGCACGTGCTTTTATTTTCACAGCAGGTCTTCTTTTATTAATGGCTTATCTACGTATTTTGCACAATTCTGCCAATGTCAATTAATTTTTACATGTAAAATGAAATGAATGCGCGACAAATGCGCGAATTCCATCAAACGACAATGTCAAAGTGACAGTGACAGCTAATCGACCGATAGGGACGCCCGTAATGCAATCGGTAAATAGCGATGCACCCAAGCCTTGGTATAACAAATGGAAATTTCCGTCAAGAAAGTTCATCACTACAATTAATAGATAGCGATTTGGCCATGGCAAATTCCCAGCACACTTGAAGCGAATCAAGATTGTTTCCTCGGATATATGCGAGTATTGTGAGTCAACAGCAGCTACATTAGATCATTTGATTCTGCATTGTCCTGCCTTCAATGTCCAAAGGTTGCTTCTAGTAGATGACCTAATGAAGATATATAAAGACGAAGAGATTTCCCGCCTCTTGCCATCGCTACTAGAAAATGAAGATACATACGAATGTATTTACAAGTTCATAATTTCAACTTTTGATTTAATATGAAAACTTGATGCTGTGTAGAATATAAAAGGATATTTTATCTTTATAAAGAACAATGTACTAAAGATGTGGCTGTATGGATGTTTCCAAAGCCGTTAAAAAAATAAATAAATGGCGATGCCCATAGAAGTCGATATCTTTCTCGGTCTAACAGAAGCTTGCATTTTACTATCATGTACGTTCATTTAAGAGTAGCGTAGCACGCATTGGACGACTGGCATGCCACAATCGTAACAGCAACGTATTGTAACGATGTAAATTGTTATTGTTACCAACATCATAAGAGTTATAACCTCATAACTGTTACTTTACGTTTTTAATGTGGAAACACGCGTTGCGTAGCTATATAGTTTATCTAACAAAGAGTATAAAGTTAATACATTAAAAAAACAATGTCATATACATTGTAATTCCTAAAACAAATGACCATTGTTACTGCTTGCGTCCACTTGAGAAGTGTATATATTTTGGTATAGATCTTTAAAATGATCGCATATCTATCAGAATGCATCGAAGAAGGAGAAAGAAAGAAATTTTTGAATTTTTGAAAATAAACATATCCTACCGCACACATTCTACGCGGCAATTTATCATAGTTCTATGTTCGCTCTGCGTTTAAATAGCTTGTAAAGATATACAGATTATTTGATAAAATGACAGTGACCTAAATGAATATATGATATCAATAAGTTTTCCAACAGCAAAGTTGGAGTACCGTAATAAATTTTGTACGCGACTCCTGAGCTTGTAAAAATCCAGCTATCGTTGCTCAAAACGTTTGAAATTCTCAACAAGTCAGCCATCGCTGTTATAAGCTTACCGAAGTTTTTGTTCGAAGTGAAATGTACCTTTATACAACAAATAACAGTCCCTCAGGTCGGCCGGGTCGCCGTGCCTCGCGGTGCCAGCGTCATCATTAAAGATTTGCACAGTTCTCAAGGCTAAACTTTCATTTGTTTCTTCCTGTACAATATATGTATGGTCGAAAAGTTAAATCTAACCAATCTTACTAATATTATAAAGGCGAAAGTTTGTAGGTTTGTAAGTTTGGATGTTTATTACTTCTTCAAGCAAAAATTACTGAACGGATTTTGATGAAATTTGGTATACATCATGGATTAACATTCAACCTTTTATTCTACTAAATAGTTCCCTAAGAACGACGCAGGCGAAGTTGCTACCGGAAAGTTATGTATATTTCTATACTAATAATAAAGAGAGGAAATACTTCGGTAATCAGTTTACAGAGCTACTAACATTTGTTCCATATAAATAATTTGGTAATAAAGAATGAAAATTTTGAACACGTATTATTTCATTATTAAAATTAAATAAAATCTATTTTGGAGTCAAATTGTATGATAACATGTGATGAATATGATTGTTGGAAACCTATTTCATTATTCAGGGGTCATCTATTGATAGAGCATTTAGACCAGTAGTTTTACAGTGTAACTAACGCCTTATTTGATCTATCAAAATGAATACCTGTTAGGGCTTCGGTTACTTGGTAGGGCCTGAGTCCCTTTTAATTTAGATTACAATATTAACAAATTCAAACCATTTGTTAAATACCTAAAAGATTATTTGATAACAAAGTGCCGACAAGGAGCTTACTATGTATATTGCCTGGATGGGTCACTACTACATAATTAAAGAGGCTATTAATCTTTAAAGGGGCTAAAATACGAGACCCGCAATTATTAAATATCAAAGATCAAACTGTAACGTAACATAGACTGAATTTGTGTTAAAGTAAAGTCTATTTTTGATATTTGTATTTTGCTCGGATTGTAACTACCGCATCACGTTTTAGGAGCCCGTTTCCACGTTGCCCTATAAAGTAAACACGCGAACTCTTTGGTTCGTTATGGAGTAGTGATACTACCTTCCCAGTTGGTGGCACATTTCTAAAGGGTAGACAACCTTTCGGACAGTTAGGAATTCAACTGTCTTGTTGAAGTTGCGCGCAATAACAATAAGATAAAGAGGATTACAAGATGGCGTTCTGTGTGCTAATAATTAATTTCAGTGAATTACTCTCAATCTGAAACCGTTAGAATTATGTAGCGACTCTCATATATATAAATGTTACCTAATTACTGTTAGAGAAAAATGTTGTTTTTATAAACATTATTTTATTATATTTTTAGTCTCGTTTCAATATGTTGTTGTTCTTAGAAAGACGGATCTAAAGAGCCCAAACAAGATGCAGTTGCATTATTTCATTGCCAAGTTCCTATGACCACCTTCCAGTTCCATCATCACATCAGCTTACTGACACTATAATATTGCATTGTCTTCTGACATTCATGTTTATCGATATTTCAAATCTATTGGAGAATGAGAAGTGGGTCACAATGAGTACCAAGATTTAAATAAAGTTAAATAAAGTTCGTAAAATAGTGATAAGGCCTTTGCATCATCATAATCAGTCCTGTAGCGTGCCCACTGTAGAAATTCAGGCCTTCCTTATGGATGGTTAAGGAGGATAGGCCAGGACCATCCACGCTGGCCCAATGCGGATTGGAGGATTAAGGCCATCAAACACCAAAGTCAAATTTGTCTTTATTAAAATTGGTAGCAAAATCAATTACTGATTTTGTTTCAAGCAGTATGTATTGGACCTGTGGTTAATAACCTTTATGACCTAGGTATTAGGCAAACTGATTGTACCCATAATACACCCCGCTCGGTTGCCTTTATTTTCGCTTAAATCACGTATTAACTTATTTCTTGTTCTTGTTGAGATGATTTAATTATTCTAGTATTAAAGGTTCTCCGATTACACAATAACTGATTTACCCCCGGGTTAGTAACCGTTGTATTAGAGTATATAACGAGAGGTGATGGCGTGCTAGCCGCAAACTTTTATTGAGGCTACATTACTATACTGACACATGGAGGTCACGGCAAAATGGCTTTCGTTTTTTTTTTCTAACCAGCTTACGGCAAATGAAAAATTATTCAGCCAGTGATATACATTCCGTATTTATTATCTTGATGTGCCTATTCCGCGTATTATTGTCTATGCCTTTTGGCGGCGTAAGCTGAATGTTCGATCTGGTTAAGCATGTTTTGATGAAAGTTGTAGCGCCATAGAGCCTTTCATCTTGGATAACGCGAATTAAGCAACTTTTATGAGGGTAAGTCATAGGATGGGTAACCAAAATGTTATAATTGCGAATCTCTCCGTGCTTCGGAAGGCACGTTAAGATTTATACGGAAATACTGATCAGATCATGAAAATTATTTTACCTACGGGAAGCTTTATCACACGCGGTTGCCTTAGTTTACGCGTAAGAAGTGGCGGGTAAACAGCTAGTATGAATAATGAGTTTTTTAATGAGTCTGATGACATCTTTGTACATTTAAAATAGTAATATATATCGTATGTTACATGTTGATAATATAGCTTTATATCGGTAAAAAAAACGAAAATTATTCCAGTACTTTCACAGTGTTTAGCGTTGGAGTAAATTTACGTTGAGACTGCACTTAGTATTTGTCAAAATTCATATTATTAAACAGAGACTTAACTAAGGTTAACCTAGTACGAGGTTCTAAGGGTATACCATTTTAGTGTAAATTTACTCTGACGCTAACCCTTGTTTATAAGTAGCACTGTTAGAATTTAAAAAATCTAATCTATTAAAAAAAATTATATAGTAGGATTTTATACATAAAATATTTACCTGAATCATCATCGTGTCCGGTGTTCAGCTGCAGCGCCAACGTTCTCAGCTGCTTGTACACCTGAACGGCCTCGTGTCTCAACCAGCCGTCATCCTGGTCCTCAGGCTCCGATTCCATCTCTGCGTGTAGAGATCTAGCGGGGTCAGCCGTGTCCACCGAGTCGGGAGACCCGATCCGCTCTGCTAGGGTGTCGTGAGATCTTTGCAGGCGTTCTAGCTCTTTGAGCGTGTTCTGATACTGGTGTTCCTGGCAATTTAAATACTTGTTGTAGAATAAAAAATCATGATATTAAAGTACAATAGCATATGCGTTAAACAGAAATTGTAGTGTGGTATACTTATATAAATATAGAACTGCAGTTGGCAATTTGTTTTTGACTATTTTTTTATTATTTTGAGCTAAATAAATATACTCCGAAATTTAAAAAATATTGTTTTTTTTTAATAATGAAATTAATGCGTTTATTATAATTTTATAAAAATAATGACATTTCTATTATTATTTTTTCGTGTTTTAATATAATAAATATTAGTTTAGCTGAATTATTGCTAGCTTTGGACCTTACCTTAATACCATAAAGACAAATAAGTTTAAATTTTATAGAGCGGTATTGAAACACTAGATTTTTGCCAATAATCTTTAGTTTGTAGTTATTGACTCGATCACGTTTATCCAATGTTAACATTTAAAATGTATCTTAAACGTATGTAGCCTTGACTATCAGTGTTTTAAAAATGCAAAAGCAAACATACAGTAAAGAGGTAAGGTAATATCACTACAGAAATTGCAGATGCCTTTACTAAATATAAAAGAAGTGTCTTCTGACCTGATTCACAGAACTTGACATTGTAACTATGCATCATTAATAAATTTCAACCTTATTAACTTGTAAATATTTTTTTTAATAGTTTATTCATGTTCATGTTAATTTCGTTCGCATTAATCTCCTTTGCTTGAGAATATTCAAGATAAGTTTTTTGATGTCTATTGTTCTTAATACATAGGTATGTATATTAATCAAGAGAGTGAAAGGCTCAATTCGGATATCGTTCCATTCCTTTCTCATAAGTTCTTATGGACGCAGCAGAAATCTAATTAATCTCTCTTATTTTAGTATTTCGTTATTTCTAAATATATAAGAGTTGGTATCATTTATCAACGTGACTAGGATATTGTATAATAGTACTGCAGTAATAATATAAAATATGTTGGCGAAAATAGTTTCGTAAGTTTATAAGAAGTATACCTACTACGATTTGATAAACCTTATCTGGACTGCATCAAACTTATTTCTGATTTGAAGTTTATTAAAATATTAAACCTTCTTAACTAATCTGATCATATTATAATTAAGAAAAAATCATCTTAACAGCTGGTTATTACAGAATCTAGATCACTTCCGTAATTCTTTTTTATTCATCAAATTAAAAGCACCTTTCTTTCTTTCTGCAAGTTTAAAAAATCTTTGTTCGAAATATAAACTTGATGCAGTGAAATTATTCTTATGAATTTTATTGACATACTTGTTCTTTCAGTTGTCTCTCCAGCGCCACTATCCTATCGTTGGCTTCTTCCAGCTGCTGCATGAGTTGTTCCTTGTCGTTCAGTGAGCCTGTAAGTCGCCGTTCGAGGTCCGCTTTCTTGTCGCTAACTAAAGCAAGCTCAGCTTTCAAAGACTCTAAACTGTGGACGTGATCCTGTTGAAGATAAAAATGACCTATTATCTAGTATCAATCCATTCCTTTAGCTGTCTATACAAATATATGAATTATTAGCTGCTATCGCGCGTCTTCAGCCGCGTAATTTACAGTCTATATCTTCCTCAATTTTATCAGTAGTTTCTGAGCTTATTCAATGCAATCAATCAAGTTGCTTATTTTATAATATTAGAACGGATTTAACAGAACATTTATAATAGAGGATTTTCAGGAGACTATCTAAGTCAAGCGACGAACAATTCCTCTTTCCTCTAAAAGTAAAAAAAAATAATTTTGAATGGCATATCAAAAATAAAGACTTCAGTGGATTGAGTATTAAGGTAGAGTAACACAAAGAGAAATTCTATGGATGATATAGTACTAGCTAAATTACCTGTAAGCTTGTTTTCCTCATTGAACACTGGTCTTTTAAGCCTTCGAGCTGTGCCATCAGCTGTGCTTCTGTTGCTGACGATTCTTTTAGCTGTGCTGTCAGCCTCGAGTTCTGGGCCGTCAACTCCGCTATCAAACTGGCTTTCTCTTCATCTCGCTAATGGGACAAACAAGGAATTCTACTTTAGACTTTCACATAGCATTTTCTTTGAAATAAGGTTTATAACCTCTCGTATACATATTATATCATCAAACTTTGATGCGCCGCAAAGCCATATTTAGGGTTGAAAATATTTATATCACTATTCAGTGGTATCTAGTGACCTTTAGTTCCTAATACAACTAATGACATGAATTTTCCATTCTCCAGTCGACTGGCTAATTGTGGTTAATTAATTTGTATATAATAATATCTTAGTTTAAACTAAATCCAAAACCCAACGTCCTCCAACTGTGAGTGATCTTACGCATCATAAATTTTCATCACAAAGGAAAGTTTATCTAAAACAAAGAAACGACACGATCGTCGTTAAATATTCATGAGCCCCTTGGGACATTGACTTCCTTATCTAAAATGTATGATAACCTTTTCAATATTAATAAGTCTACGCAAGACTCATATCATACTTCACATAATTATGATCTTAGGAGTTTCGTTTGAAGACTAGGTGAAGCAGTTAATAAGATATTTTTTTAATACTCGCACATCAATGTTTAACAGATGCTTGAATTACAAAATTTACACATATTTGGATGTAGCATACAAGTATGAAGTACATTACAATGAAGGTGATCTGAGTTTCATCATTAAAAACCTTAAGTTTTGGTCCAACTTCCCCCCGTTTTCCACTTAGTATATGGGCAAGTGTTTTTGGCAAGAAATTAATCGTACAATTTAAATTAAAATATTATTATTTAATAAGGTCGATTTATCATTGAAATTTGTTTTAATAAGAAATTGGAGACAATCATATTACAATAAGGTAAGTAGGAAACAGCATTTCTGTTAAAAAACTATGAATGGCATTCAAAGATGTTACGCAAATTGAATTTAGCTCTACAAACACCAGATATAACGCTTCAATAAATTACATTTTCTAGCTTCATTGATTTTGAAACAGAATTATTAAAGCACGACATCTAATTTTAACAGATCTCTCAGTAACTAAGGACGGATCATATCGATATTACTGTTACAATATCAGATTAAATTTTAAAACCCGCCTTGCGTTATTTATTCATAGAGTATTTGACGCCGTGAAATCATTGTGATCCAAACACCAAGCGTAGTTAATCGTGTTAATAAGTGTAACGAAGTAGTAGACTGTCCAAGCGAATTTGCTGCTTACGAATTTGGGATTAGAGTCTAAAGTCCCCTCGAGTGTATTTACGAAATTGCTTCTCCTAAGAGGTTTTGGAAGGACGTCAGCAGCCGTGACGATGCCGATGGTTCTTGCAACACGTATTGTTGGCACAAGGGATGAGCTGTTACTTTTTAATATCTAACTTTATAATTAATTAATAATTCAAAACTGACTCTGTTTTCTAAGGCCACATATGTGAATAAAACTTTATTTATATTTAATACTTCAAGGACATCATTTTTATTAGTCTGAAGTGCATTAAGTATCTGTTTTTCTATTTATAAAACCATCAAGATGATTAACAAAGATTACAACTTAAGCAAACGCTATCAATAGCAAGTTAATATTAAAGAAAGAAGAATTTTCCGATACGAATATATTGTATTTCTGTCATGAAATGTGATTCTAATGTAAAAAGCTTCAAAGTACATATTTTGTTGATTCATATAAGTGACGATTTTGAAAATAGATTCGATAATTTCTTCCTTTCTCAAAGTATGCTCCGCTCCGTATATATGTAGATATATTGTGGGGTTCAGGAAAAAATTACAGTATACTGAATGCAAAATCGATCTGTTAATGTTTCGGCGAATTATCGAAGTTAAATCATATTTGATATCCAGAAGGGTTTTGTCACCAATGTTATCACGAATGTTTAAAAACGAATGAACAAGATTGTAACTAAAGAGTTCTTAATTTGACACAGTTCTGGTGTTTCGCTCGCCTCTCATCACTCAACATCTCATCGGCTGGTTGATCACAAGCGTCCAATTAACTAGGTGCTAACGACGGAAAACAAATATGTGATAAAAGCATCCTGAGCGACAAAAGTTGGAGGCCTGCTGACAAATTATTTCCTAAGGTCACTTCAAAGACCCATATTCGGCCCGTCCAACGGATGGAGAAGTAACCTTGTGCGGTATTTCTAATAATGAAATTGATGTCGAAACATCTGATGTTAATGGTACTTTAAATTAGGAAGACATTAAAATGAAATTAATGGAACATAATTATTTTGGTGCTATAATATTTTTTTCTATAATCCTATTGTGTTTTTGCGTTTCGTGGCATGAAACTTAGTGGATTAGAAAGTTTAGAATGCAAAGCTTGTGAAAAATCTAGGATTTTATCTTATCGATTGTTTATTATAATTTATAAAACCTTCTATTTATAAAACCTGCGGTCTTCTTTATTATTTATTTTATAAAACCGGTCTTCAGGAATCAGTGATTTGATGGCTTAAGTAGGGAAGGGAACATGTATGTACAAATAAAAGCAATAGTAATAATAAAAAAGGCATAATATAAAGCGATGCCTTTTTGAAATTAATTCAATCCCCGATAAGTGCTCTTTATTAGAACATATATAGGTATAATAAATTACGTAAAATATAAATAAACTGACCTATAACTTTGCTATTGAATATCGAAGTTTAGTATAGTTTACGTAGAAAAGTGTAATGATTGTAGTTATAACAACACAACCTCTTTGTACATACGAAAGGAAATTTAAAGCATCATGTTTTACCCATGGTTTAGTTCACTGAGATCAAAGACTTGAAAAAAGGTACGATCATTGTACAAGCTGTGTTTGCGGGATTTATACACTTCTGGTTTCTCGACACTGATGTCCGTAATAGGCTTTCGCTTGTCTTGATCAAAATTGATCTTGATTGATCGCCAGGTTCCCACTCAATGGATCCTTATTTTATACTCGCATTTACAATATGTATACGTAAATATGAAAATGTATTACTTACATAAAATGTAATACAATTTTTATTTGAAGTTTTTATTTAAATAAATAGTAAATATATGTCTTGGCTAGCAATAGTTTAGAAGTATCTTACTTTAAGAGTTGAAAAGCTATTCCCTCGTGTACCATTAATCATCAGTTAGCTCCTTAGGCGTTTGTCAGGCAAACAAGCCAATCGAGGTGTGCCAGTAATTGGCTTATTGGCCCTGAAAGCTTTCCACCATGCCGAGTATTCCACACAATGACGTCATTTCATGAAATGTTTTAACTAGTGCCCTTGACAGTGTTGTCATTCCAGAAGTAATTTATAGCTATGATATAACAGTAATGAGGCTTGCGAAAATTTATTTAAAAAATGTATTAGTTGGATAACACAACGGGTTGTGGAATTAGGACGGTAAAAAAATAGTTTTCTAATCATATATTCTCTAATAGTGTTAGAAATATTGTTATCTTTCTGATCAGAGCAGTTAGGCTGCGCTGCATTTGAGTGCAGACTATTTTGACAGGCTGAGTGGTAGATAATAATTGTAAATGCATCTAAAAAACCTAAAACTCTTAGACGCTTACTTACGCTTAGCACGAGCTTATAAATATAAAAATATAAAAATGGGTCTTCTTAGGCAACACTGCCTTATCTGTTGATTTATTTGCTAGAAAGTTGGAACGTAAGGAGTGATAAAAAAACATAGAGAACTAATTAGGTGAAACATGAATTTATATTAGCTTATAACTAATAGAAAATCAAATTAGAACTATTTGTTCAAAGGCTTCGTCCAATTCATCGGTGACAAATGAAATGGTTTTTTTTTCACGTTGTTAATAACGTGGTTGTTAAATCCGCCTACTCGTCTAAAATAGGATTGTTTTCCGGCAACGAAATGAGGCGAATATTTCTTAGCAAAAAAGTAAGGATTCTTCGTAGTATTAACTTAGTCGACTGTCTCGTTGACGGTTGAAGTTTTGTAGGAGAAATATTAGAATTCACTTTGCTGAACATCTTTACTGAAATTATAATGTTATATTTCTTGGTTCAAAGTCAATTAAACTTACTAAATTTTGGATAAGGCGCTCTTTTTACCCGACTAAGACAAAGGAGGGTTATGATTTTGTTCGGTATGTATGTATGTAGGAATGTTCATCTGTTCCCTTATAACTTTAAAACTACTCATCGTAACTGGAGAAATAAGATATCATTAGAAACGTCTTGTGACAATAAATGAAATTGTAAAAAGCGCTCTTTAGAGAGCATAAAGTAAGAAACTAAAAATATATACATATATTAAATACACCCGAAAAATAATAATAATAAAACTGTTGTAGCATACGAGTACGCTGTCCTTTGGTCATCGCTATTATAACTTAGCTATCATTACAAAATTAATTCTAGTTGGTTTTAATTTTTTGAAGCGTGACATCGCTATAGTCGGGTCTTAGTTTTTGAACTCATTTTTTTTATTTAATCAATTTCAAGCAAAAGGCACTTCCCTAAGTCTGTACCTGTTAACTGTTATTGATACTTGGAGTAAAGTGATACTAGTTCCGCTTTAAGTTTATTTTGAATGCTACATATACTGTGTTATATTTTTCAATCATACTTTTTTAATGTTAACTTATATATAAAAACACGTATTAAATCAACTATTCATAATGCACAGCGGGAACTGAAAACCTTGACTTGGTTCGCGGCTCCAATGCTCAATGTTAATTACGAGCCAACGTTGATTTTCGACTAAATAGCGTATTTTTTGTACTGATCTCAGGGTCATGGCTGGATCATTGTTTCACTGGGAATGTGATAAAACTTAATTAGTCATTTTGTACCGGGATCTAATGTACTGTCTGTTTGTATGCTGTGTAGATTTATGCGCGAGATAGTGGGGTTTGAATAATGATTTTTCTGTCATATTGTTAAATGAGAAAAGACGAAATTAATGTTAATAATAGGTTTATGGAGGTGGGAGTCAATGAATGGATGAAAAGCAAAAAGAAGACCACAGAATGTGTTCATTGGTGGGGCACAGACTTTCCCTATCGAATCGAATAGGGTGAATAGGCAATGATCCGCGACGCGGGCTCTATATTGTTTGAACTGAACCAAAACGTGCCTTCCGATGCACGGCGGTAGTTACTTTTTGGTAACCCATCCTATGACAGACAGAGGCTTTTGCGAAAGTTATAATTATCCAAATGCCAAAGGCAGAAATAAACAGCACTCCTATTAAACCGGTACCGCTTCTATTTTGCATAAAAGGTTATTATAATATATAATGGTTCACAGTTTGTGTTTTTGTGAATGTTTTGTTTATCAAACTCACGGTAATTGTGATCCTCATTACTAATTTTGACCGAGTCTCGTGGATGTTTTTCTTACTTATTTCTGCATGTCTGTCAATCATTCGCTCGCCAGAATTCATGCTCTGCTTAGTTTGCGACAAAAAGTTATAAAAACGCCTACAATATGGCAAAGGATTTAGTTTTTACAATTCAAGAACCTTTTTATTTATGATTCAGAATTGTAATTTTTTTCTGGTTAATTTGAATTCTTAATGTGCTGAGAGTTGAGAGACTGTCTCTATTATTAACCGCGACTCGTCAAAAATTGGAACCGCTTTTTACAATGAATTTATAAAACTAAAATAAAGAAACATATAAAGGCTAAAAATTAGTTGTTTGTCCATACTTTCTCGCAGGCAGACGATCGGATCGGATCTAAAACCAAACATCTTAAATACAAGATTTAGACGACATGTTGGATCACTGAACCTGACTACATGTACAGATGTCAACACGGTTTTTGATCTGTGCTCTTTATGTGCGGTTCTATTTATAGAGTTTTGTAGTCCAAGAAAGAAAATGTGCATTATCTGAAGCATACACCGCGTAAGAAGCCCGCAACTTTATTTGTTCCAACTACCTGAACCGTCTATAAATGCCATTAGAGTAATTATAACTAAGGTGCTTGTTTACACGCCTGACTGGACCTGGAAGTAAAAACTATCCTTCATCGTTAATCAATATTAACAACAGTCTTCAGAGACACGAGACTTCGCGTGCCTCTCGTAGGGCTGTCACTTACATCTTGCCTATATCTACGTAATTTAATATATACTTTTTTGTATTTTTCTTTAGTAGCTTAACATTTAATAGCTTACAACAGAACATATATCATTCAGATTATATAAAAATATTATGCCATATACATTCAATTATAGAGGCTTCAAATGAAGCGAAACATTTATTCTAAGTATCCAAAATACTATACACGTAATATTATTTGTAGCTTATTATTTGGCCACTTTCTATATACACACAATTTTGAGATATATATAACATGGCATAACGTTGCGTATAAGTTATTACGTATATTTTTTACGATCCCTTCGCTCACCTTGTTTTTTTTTAATTTTTAACACAGTTGTTGCATGATTTTAATCCATTTTATTTATAGTTCGTTTAATCAGAAGTAGTCTTTTTTTTACGGACAGATCTCATTACTTAATTTTCCATGAGTTCCTTTAAATGCCTCCTTTTCTTCAATTTTCTTTTCAAATATATCCTTTTTTTCAATATTAGAATAAAGTTTTATTGATACCTACAGACTTGGAAATAACATTTTGTTGGCAACCGCATCTATCTCATTTTAATTAGCAAATTCTATTAATGTGTCTAAGAGGCGGACTATTATAGTAAAATATTGCTTACTGGAGCGATAACTAAGAAAATATTGACCTACGTTTGATGTATTAGAAAACTTTGATAGATATTTCGATAGTAACATAAATAAAATAATAAGATATGTCTATTACACGAGAATCAGGATATTATAATCTTTGAATCTTCTATTACCGATTTGGAAATATATTTTTAGTTACGAGATTGCTACCGTGTACCGTTATTTATCGAGTACTCGATATTTCGACGCTGTTGAAAGCGCTATGATCACTATAAGTTTAGTTCAAAACAACATATTTTATTGTAAATATATCAAATTGTCAAATTGTAAGTCAGGGTGCCATTTTTTAGATTTTCATAGGAATCAAAACCTTAATAAAATTTCAAAACCAATAAATTATAGAGCAGGACCAACAATGAAAGAGTCCGTATTCGATGTAGATTTTAAAAGTACGACCAAGTTGTAAGTAAGTTACTTTCAGAATATATACACTTTCATTTAGTCCTTACACACCCATTAATGTGGAAATTGAAGAGTAATGTACATAATAGGGATGATGACTAATTTTTGTTTGTTTGTCAGTCAGGTAGAGTGTTAAAAAATATTAAACACGTATTTTTTTCGTAATCATAAAATTACGACGTTACATGGAGTTGAAATTTCGGATGACGTCACGTTATGGTACGTTTTCTACTCAACTGTGACGTAGCGAGCCCCCACACCTCAACTTTAATGCCTCTTATCTAAGCTATTTCTTGTTAAATTGAAGTAAAAAAATACGTATCTAATATTTTTCTATCATCTGACTAACGGACTAAATAGAATTGCATTTTTTTACCCAATCGTCATCCCTATTTCGTTAATTTATAGGAAATATCTTATATGTGAAGAATTTGCTTACAATACCTGTTTCACGGAGGTATCTTTGGAGTCGATCTTGGTAGTGAGCTCCCTGATGTCATTTTGCAATTCCAGCAGTCTTGCTTCATATTCGCCCTGCGCTGTGTCCAGGCGACGCCGGAGCAGATGTTTCTCTTGTTCCAACTCCTATGGAAGAAAAGACAGAGAATGTAAAAGTTGCACTAATCATTTACTTAAACTTGACGCTTCATTTTATGAGAATGCCAATGAGAAATTTTAGTTTAATGTCTTTGTTTTGAGTGCATTTAACCATAACATATAACGTTCTATCAATGAGTATGTAAAAATTACCGGTTTATAAAAGATATAAAGTCAACCACAATCTATTCCTAACAGCAGGTATTAATAAAAATAGGATAAACAACGTAATAAACAATAAGGAAATTTAATAGAGTTAATTAAAATAAATTAAGCAAGGAAATGTAAAACGAAAAGAGTAAAATAGATATAGAAAAAAGTAAACCATGTAATGGCAGTGGAATAAATAAAAAACTATAACTAAGGTGTATAATTAATTAAAGAATAAAATAAGAATAGAGTAGGATAGAGATAGATGCGGCAATCTCAGTCGCTTGAAGCGTGAATGAGAATGGAATGTGAGAAAGAAAAGTATGCAGTATGAAAGAGAGTTTACACGATAGAACTGGAATGAAAGAGTAGATGACTAAATAAATAATATAAATAGTCCTGTCACTGAATGGAGGGCAGAGTAGGGCTCTGCCTCATATGTAAAGCCAGGCAATAAAAAAAAACAACTGGCATTTGGTTTTGAACATGTTCCTGTTGATTAGTTAAATAGAACTACGATTGAAATGTATTCTAGTTAATTCTTTGCACTCGAGCTTTCAAAAATACTGAGTCTTCTCATACGACACTATCATATACTTCAAACATATTTAATTGTTCGACCAGTCAATCATTTATTACTTAAAATATGGTGCGGGTACAACAGATGTAATAAATCACATATTTACTGTAACTGTAACAGTGTGTAATAGTTTTAGTATGTAAAATATTCACACAATACCTATCGATCGACATTAGCTCGATACCCAATACGAGATGGCATAACGTCAAAATTAATGATTTACATTAAAAACCATACATTAAAATTTAAATACGTACACATACATATTTCAATTTTATATATTTTCAGTTATTGCGTTACATTCCGCAAGCGATAAATTATAACGAAAGTATGTTAGTGCCTTGACTCTTTTATTGTGAGTAGACTGCACTAAAACAATGGATAGCATAAGCCATTGTGCGCACTAACTATCCTGAAAACCTACAAAGCAATTGTTGTCTTGTTTATTGACTAGACTTTTAGCTCGATAAGAAGTAGGTAGCCTATAAATTCCTGTACGATATTATTATTGTGTCTGTGCGTTTGATGTAGGTCTGTATTCATTTCAATAACATGAAACATTTATGTTAATTTATATATTATTCCGGGATCGAGGCTTTAAACTTGTCTAAAACTTTATTATAATTATGTAATCTTTTCTAATTTGATGAATAAATGGAAATTACCTAAACTCCTTCGTTTGCTATAAATTGATTTATATAATATTAATAATACTTATTTTTCAAAAAAAAATTATACATAGGTTTAAACTCAATGTTACAAACTATATTAAACTCAATACACATATAAGTAACACAATTGCTGGTATATCGATACTCAAACTCAATATCGTTTATTCAGCTTAGGCTGTTACAAGCACTTGTGAAAGTCGAAAAATATGCCATCGGTTCGCAAAACTACGGCGGGTGGGAGATCTTGTACGGATAACCGGCAAGAAACTCAGCAAGGGCTGCTTTTTTCTCCCTGTTTTATTTCACACAGAGAAGTCTTATGGAATTCAATCTCGACTTTCTAACCGCTTCGGAATGCACGTTATTCTCGGCTGCATCTGCAGTAATTAACACACACCAATCCGCACTGGACCTACGTGTTGGATACCCATTCCTCCTTTCAGATTCCACCCATACCCGAGTAGAGCTGATGATAATGTACTGAGTGAGTTCAAAATTCCTTTCAGTATTCAAAATTCTTTTCTATTGTGAAGTTGCTTCTTTTCTATTGTCAACATGCGTGTTCTATCTACTCAACATTATTATAATGGAAATACGTAATGGAGAGCAAAATAAATGACGAAACAATCCACGAGAACAATATCGAAGTCTATTTATATATATAAAGTTAGGCGAGTATATGTGAGTATAGTATGACGCTACCTCACCGACGACTTACCTATACGACCTGAACAGACATTATTAAAATAATATTTTCGTTTTTTGGTGAAAACATTAATACTTCATTTATTTCATAATTTAGATATCTACATAATATAATATTTTAATAATGTTCACAATTTAAATGTGCCAGCGAAATCGCAGGAATCACAAGAACCTGAGCAATTTATCCGACAGTAGAATAGCGTTCGGCTTGCATCTCGCGACATCAATTTTCTCGGTATTTTTCAGTAAAAACAATATCTATGCTTTCCACTGCGCATAGATTTAATTACGTCAAAGACAATAGATGGGAAACATACAAAATGGTTGACGGAAACAACGTTACTACGTCTCTTCCGGCGCGGAACTTCGTTTTTTGTTGTCTAAAGCCTTAATTAAACCGTAAGCCGTTTCTAATTGAATTCTTCATTACACATAGTGTTATTTACGTTTGCTGTCAAAATGTTTTTTTTTTAATGATTTATATTTTTATACATATTCGGTAAGTTCTTGTGGACTAACCTTAAATCCTGCTTTAATAATACTTCTTAATATATTAAGTCTACAAAATAAGATCAGTGCAACTAGTTTATAAGTATAAGTTTTTTTTTTTATTATCTTTACACAAATAAGCTTATTCAAAGCTTCAACTGGCCAAAACTTTTTATTTACATCGGTAGCAATCGATCAGGACTTTTTTGCTGAGAAGAAAAAAGAGCGAAACGATTTCACTATCTGTCACTACATTTACAAAAATCATGCTATTACCAGAACAATAACTTTATCATATTTTCACGCGCATTATCCATAAATGAACAACTTTTAAATGGTTTTATCGCGTTTGTATTTAATTTTATTGACGAGTCGGACCCTTTACAGGTTCCGTGTTCCCATCTTATGTAAATACAAATGCGATGAAATCGTTTAAAAATTCTTTCATTTATTAATAACTTTATTAGATTATGAGGTCACTTTCTATTACAATATTAAAAACATAACTATCTTATGTTAGTCTTTCAAACTACTAAAGGTGATGAATTCAATTTTTTCCAAAGATCGATGTAAGTTTTACGCATGCAAGAAGTAAATTTTAATAAGAATGTTATTTTCTCTGAAATAAACATTCGTCATGAATTCTTTACAGTTGGATCGTTGGATGAAAGTATTTTGTGCGCAAATCGGAACCAGACTGTTTAAATGAAAACTGCATGCATTAACTTGCGTCACAATTGTGTAAATATAAATAGTTTGTGCAAATATTCTTCGTATAGTGTTAATACTATTATGTTTTCTAGATCTAGTTTCTCTTACTTGTATTTAAGATTATTTTCCGAACTATGAAACATAATGTCCATATCTACTGATACTAGAAAAAAAAAAACATTTTGAACAATACAAGCAAAGGCACTCCACTCCCGGCGATAACTTTTAATTCAGAATCGACTTTGCCATTATTATCTAGTAATGAACCAAGAATGTTCTTTGGAATCAAATTGACGTCAAGTGGTTAACTCGTCACCAACGTAACTAACCTAGTATAATAATATATAAGTAGGTAGTGTTTTGTTTTTGTTTAGAACAATCATATAAATATTTTTCGCAAAAGCGTGGTCTAAGTCTAATAAATAGAACAGTTGGCTTTGCGTAAAAAAGTGTATAATCCGTCTTTTCTTCTTTTAATACGTCTAAAATGAAATTCTATTCATATGATTGTGATAATCTGACATTAGAAATTGATCTGTGATGGGCATTGTTCGAACAAGAGATGCGACCCACTTGCTCTGTATATAATGTCAACTTATGGGAACCCTTGGAGCGTGGTAGTCTACTTGTGTCATCTGGGGCATTTTCACCACACTCACAGTGGTCCAATTTATTAGTACTCGTAGGTTTGTTTCTCTGTTTTATTATTATAAAGTGGAAAGATTTGCTTCCTTTTCTGTAATTTATAAATAATAAACATATTTATACTTTGCGGCTCAGGGCGTAATCTCGCCAATACACGAATTTTCTATTCAAACGATTCTTACATCGAAAGTCGTTAATTTTTATGGTGCATGATATTGAAACATAACGTTTTAAGAAATAATATGAATTTTGAGTCTGAATTCTGTACCTCTGATTTTGATTACTTATGGCTAACTAAAGAAAGGCAAAATATTTTATTTAATAAAGTTTGCTTTTGTAGCTTTCATGGCGAAATAACAATTTTTAAGGAAAAGCTCTATTTTCTTATTTCAAGAATTACCTATTATATTGATTTTTAATTATAACACACAGCATAAATAAACACAAAAATCAAAAAAGAATGTAAAGAAAGTTTTAAAAACGTGTAGATTTGATTTTTTTTTTTTTGTGAAAGACACGAATGAACCCCATGTGCAGTCCATTGTGTTCTCATTGTATTGTCCTTAATACCGTTGTTCAAAGTTCATTATATACTAGTGGAAGCGTACCCCTTGCCTTTCTGAATATTAACCCGAGTTGTCTTTGAATTTATCCAAGTTCGCCTTTCGAAAAATTTATCATAACACCATATATTTAGTTTCCATCATATAAAGTAGGTACAAAATCAAACTTTATTATTATTAATAGACTTTTTGTTTACTTTTCAATGTTTTAAATCAGGAAATAGTCACTAAATATCAAACTAAAAAAAAAAATTTTTTTTTGTTGACCTGTTTTATTTCATTTAAAAGTTTAACGGTATAAGTGGTGCTAAATATTACGTCTCACAAAGTCAAGTATGTAGTAGGTCTTTTACGCCCCATAAAACAACTTCTACTTCTTATTTTAGTGTCGTTGACGTCCAAAATTACAAACAAATCTGCATTAGCAGCTTTAAAATTGGGGCTCGTAAAATTTTAACTTTAAATTCACCA